ATTAGAATAACTATGATACACCATGAAACTTGATGTTTTCACTGCTATAATACAACTTACATTTTCAGCTTAAAACATTGCTGACAAGACTTAGAGACCCACGGGGACTCTTTTTTAAGCTTAAGAATTTTTCTTTATTGCTTGAAGCCTCAGCTCAGAAAGTTAACTCTTGACAGGGGATTTATCAGGGTTTTATTTCTGGGGTTTGCAACACTGCCCACTAAAATTATTGTCATTTTGCTTAACCTTTTCTAACGAGGAAGACAAGACTCTTCATGCCTTCTGCCTGCGTGGCTGTAGGGCAAGGAGAGGCAACAGAAAGTAACAAGTTCTGTTTAGTAGTCAGATGAACTAAGTGAAATGACACTTGTCATGAGTGAAATTTGGTCTGAATACCCAGGAAACTTCATTAGAGGACAGGCTGGCACTGGAGAGGATGATGTGTTGACAAAATAAACTACAGCAGGGGGAGCCTGGAAGCCAGAATTTGGAAGGTTCCCTGCCCATGGCAGAGGGGTTAGAACTAGATGATCCCTTCCAACACAGAACATTCTGTGATTGTAAGAGCCAGGCTTTGCAGTTCAACACAGCCTGCTGCAGTCAGGTGCACCAGTGATCTTCCTTCTCAAACCAGGAGCTGGGAAACCAGCACCATGTGCCAGTGTCTGTGTCTACATCCTCAGCAGACTGCAGCCTCTGCTGATGTATCCCTGTTACCAATATAAGTCAGTGTGTGTTGTTGCACGGGTGCCTAAAGGAATAGCAGCAGTTCATGGAAGAGCCCCAGTTTTGTAGCCCTAGGCTACATCTGTCTGTGTCCCAAGTCAGCTTTTGCAGACTGTAGGGAGTGAGATGCCCACATACTCCTAGCCAGTGTTTGCCCCTAAGGCCCTTGTGAGCCTACAAGTGTGGCTTGTAGATCTCTCACCTCCAGCGTTGAAGGGGCACACAGAGATTTCAAGTGCTTGGGCACCAAGCCAGTGAAGTTCACTCACACAGCAGCATCCTGAGTTAAAAATGTGGTATGACTGTGAATAGCAAGGGAGGGTCGGGTTTGTGACTCTTCTTCCAATTGTTCTCCTTGTTTATAACCCCCAGAGATCAACTTACTTGAAGCATTTATGTCACAACAAGCAAGATAAAGTCACCCAGGCTGAAAACTAATCTTCTGTGGGCTTTTTTTTGCTGTCTTTTTTTCCCAAGAAAAATGACCCATCCCAGGGTCATTCCAAGACCCTGGATGAGTCAACAAAGAAATGACACTCTCACTGCATGCTTATGGAACAGATTTAGTGGGATGCAATCAAATAATTTGAGTCACATTACAACCTAAAGTCACTGCAAGCTGGTGGGAAATGATTTTTAGATACTAGCAGTCTTATGAGGAAAAAAAACCAAACAACTGTTAATTGAAAAGAAATTGGATGTGCCTAAATTGCACATTTATAATGTTTTATAATTTATTTCATTGTTAATAATTCAATACTGGCTGTGCATTTCCTTCCCTGTAAATTCATTCAATGTGTCTGAAGATTATTGGTTTGTTTCTTGGAGTTTTGTAGATTTATTACATTTCTGAGGGGAAGGAAGTGTTGGTTTTGGCACAGATGCTAAGAATATTCTTGTTCTGAAAATGTGAAGTAGTGTTCTAGTGCACTGCTAATCTGGCCCCTCTTATGTTGATACGGAGAAGGGTGTAGTGGTTTTCCTGCCCTACACATTATACCACTGTGCATGATTCTCCTATTCTCATGAATTGTCCAGGTGATTGATAGAAGGAAAATATTAGTATTAATAATTGTGTTAACAATCCATATGTGATTTAAAACGATTGCACTAATTGCAGACTAGTTCCTGTGCTTACATTCTTGAAGAAAAGTTTTAGAAGGCTAGTCTGACTCTCATAAGAAGACACCAAGTTTGATTTCTTGGAAAAATGATGCTGTTATTGATTCTTACTTAAATACTGCTGCTTTTGACACATAGAAATAGGGTATGGAAGAAATATGTAAGGCCCGATGGTGAGACATAAAAGACACTGTCTGTGCAAGGGAGTGAACAATAAAGGAGGCAACTAAGACTATGGATAAAGCCAGCTTCCCAAGAGCTGGATGAGGACCAAGCAGAAATAGTGTATACTTTAGCTGGAGGAGAACGTAATGAACCAGTGGGAAAAAGAAAGATATTAACTACAAAGCATTGCAGAAATTACTTGACTATGACACTCTACTTTTAAAACCTTTTGTTGGACAATACTGTCATGTAACTGTGTCATGTTACAGAGAGAACATGATTCTGAAGTGAGGAAGAAAGTTTGTGTTGGAAAAGCACAGGGGTGTTCACAGAAATCTTAAACTGAAAACACAAGTATCTTGGACACTTAACAGCAACACCTCGCTCTTAACTCCTGCCAGCACTTCTCCTCCTGCTACCAGAGACAAGGGGGGGGGGAGAAGAGGAGGAGGGTGTGTTTTAGCCAGATCCAGCAAGACAAATGGTGTGTTTCTGAAACATTTTACACACCTGAAAACTCTGTAGCTTAGTTTGAAATGTATGATAAAAAATGTGTTAAAGAAAAAAAGTATTTAATGTCAGTACTGGATCTCTAGGACTGTGTATTTTTGAAGGAGAAGAAGAGGAAAAAAGAGTGTACCTTTGTAGTTGATATCTGTGAATGATGAAAAAAATACAGGTTTAGGCCACTAGAAGGTATCCAAAAGCTAAGCGTTATTTTCAATACATTTTAAACCATTAACAGAAGTTTGGGGCTTCTCTAGTTATCAGGAGAAGCTGGATGCAAAATTTATCTAGCACTGCATCTTGTATCTACTGCATAGATCAGTTATTAGTTTGGAAATGACTGCAGTGGCTGAAAATAAACACCTTCCCTTGGACAGAAGTTACCCCACCTCAGCTCAGCCCTGCAGAGCTGTGAGCCTTTCCCAGCTGCTGCAGCACAAAATTGGCAAAATCTGTTGGCATGTAAGAATGAAGGCCACAGATAATCACTCTGGCATGATCTGGAAGGGCTCATGTCTCCTAACTGTGAATTATTCCATGAGCATTAATCAGCCCTGAAGATGGGTCTTTTGTGATAATTAAATATTGTTATTCCCCCACCTTGCTACAGATGGAGCACGTCAGACCTGAAAGCCATAGACCAAGAACTTAAGGGAGCACAAATGATCGAAGTCAAACTGAGAATCTTTGTGCTTGTGCCTTTCCACCAGCTGTCCATAGAGGATCTCTTTGTAGAGAAAACCTCTCTCTCTCTGTTGCTCAGCCTGCAGTGCGTTCAGGGTTTCCTCAGCCACAGAAGAGAAACATCACCAGAAGATGAGATGAACCAAAAAAAACAATTAAAATGCAAATGCTTTGTTAAGTGAGTTCACCGTGGTGAAGGAATCAGCTGAAAACAGCTAGTGAGTTATCCCACTGCCACAGCAGTGTTTTTGGTTTTTGCAGGGCAGCAGCCTCCTCAGCCCCTGTCTGCCTGTGGTTTAGCAGATAACGTCATTACACCCTGGCAAGTCCCTGGGTGGGTATGCTATTGGTTAGCATATTTGGCAACCTGATTTTTTCCCTGAAGGCTTGTTTTGGGAATGTATACCAGCAGGGCAGAACTGAGACCAGTGTCCCTTTGCCAGCAGGGAGTTGTCTGGTGGCACAGATGAGTTTTTTTAATCCCTTAAGAATTTATACATCCTCTGTATATATGGGCCCAGAGGTTTCTTCCTTTCAGTTTTATTTTTTTATTCTTTATGCAGGAAATTCCATGTAAGATTGAGGGGAGAAGAAAGGAAGAACAGATGCAGCACTGCTAATTAAATTAGGCATTTCCTAAAAGCAAAGACTAGGCAGTTCAATCTCATTAAAAAAATACCAGCATGGAGCCCATTCTTTCTGATTTGAGTGATTACTTGCACATCCAGATGTCAACACAGGGAAAACTATAAATGTAGAGAGGTTTATTTTGCAATAGTTTGTGTATTTCTTTATAATTCAACCTTTGCACCTACCATTTTTGGCTTTTTCTATTTTATTTTTTTAACCTGTGAAGTGGTAGAAGTTTTGAGGCAAATCAAAAAATGTCTTTCTTGCAGGATGAGATATAAGGACCATGTTTAGGGTGAGAGAGAAGGAAGGGAAATTAGGATAATGCCGACATTGTGCAAGAGATGACCCTTCAAGGAGATGGGTAACAAAATGACAAGTCTTTTATGAGGACTTTCAATAGCCTTCTCTAGCCCCAGTAGCTTGCTATGAAGTTAAGTGAGAAAGCCAACCATTAGTTTATCTCAATGCAGTTATTGTTGGTATCATATTGGTGGCTTTTTTTCTGACAAATTTACAGGTATGTTTTTTTTTCTAACCCAAGAATTATGGCTGAGGTCCCATATGTGTGGGGTCACATACACTTGCAAAAGTTTTTAGCATCAGATTATGGGTTATGTTATATTTTGCTGTAAATTTCTGTAGCACAAGAAAACTGTGACAATTTTTCAAAATATTTGTTGTGTCAGTTAAAATTGGAGGATGAGAACATGAAGTCGTTGGACAACAGAGAAGGTGAGAGGTGGATCAATGCCCCCCAGAGCTCCCTGGTTGCAGAATAAGGTAGGTTTAGGATCTGGGGTAGGTTGAGTCCCTTCAAGAGCAGGGACATGCTCTGGACCTCCCCAGTTCTGAGTAGGTGCTGAAAGAAGTAAACAGGATCCTTCAGTTTTGTGGATATAGCCCTGCACTTCCTTCAGTGTTTTGGTATTTGCCTGAAATGAGAGCCACCTGCATTCAAATGCATGTCAGTGAAATTACTGATGAGAACTTTTCCTTGCAGAAAAACATACATAATGTTTTCCAGTTATAGTCCTTCCAGCATTTTCACTAATTACTCACCTGTTCCTACCAGCAGGTAGCTTTGTACTTACAAAAACAACATCCAGATACACCCAAAAAAGTACTATGACTCCATATAAAATCAAGGTTACATATTTTTCAACAGCTTCACCAAAAAACACCAAGGACAGTATTCTAGCACTGTACATTTAGCTCTGGGTTTTAAGCTCTGGCTTGTTTTAGTTGTGAAATAGGTGAGTTTATTAAAACATTATATGGAGTCAAAGGTCCTTTCTAAATCCAGTGTTAGGGATGTTTACTCCAGAGTATTACAATAATGAGGCACTTTCCTCTGCACAAATAAAAAGAGCCACTTAATATTTTGTATTTGTGTTTTTCTGTGCTCATATGCCTCCTTGGGGAGCAGGTGCTCAGCCCAGGATGGTGCCACTGCTGTGGCAGGGAACTGTGCACCTGGGTCAGCTCTATGCCCCTGCCAGGGGGCATTCCTAGCCACTGGCTCCTGTTCTTATGATGGCCCTTGCTCCAGCACTGGTCTTTGTAAAAGTGTGTAGTATTAGTGATAAACCGTGGTATTTCTAGCGCATGAGCAAATTAAGATATAGTCTTGTTTTGCTTTGAAGCATGAAGAAAATATATGTGCTATACTAATCCTTTTTTTTTCTTTCTTTGTTATTCATTATTTTTTCTCCTTAGTTTTTCTCAAAGCTAAACTTCTCACAAAATTCAATTATAATATAGAAGTCTGTGTTGGAATGAAAGATAATTAAAAGTCCACTCAAACCTTTGCATCCCTAGTGGTTTAAAAGAAGTTTAAAGTTAGCATAGAGGCTGACTGAAGTGGGAAGGCAGTGTTAGTGATGGAGCTGTTTGGATTGGAAGCTTTAAGGTGACATCAGAAGGTTCTTCATTCTCTTCAGAGCTGGTGTTACCAGAAATAGGATCACATTTCACCTGGGACTTTGACATAATCCATGGACCCTTCCCTCTAGTTGGCTGCTTCAGCATTGCCAAACTGCTTTGTCAAGGGCTAATTTGAAGTGGATCACCAGCTGGACGCTTGACCAGGCTGCTCCTCCTTATGTTGATGCCCATCCAAACACTATAGAGCAGCCTTTAAAATGCCAGGACTGCCTACAGCCCTGTTGATATGGGTGATATACATGTTCACAAACAGGAAACTGAAGAGTTTTGGTTTAAATGAAAATTCTTATACAACTGGTTCCTAATGATCACTATTCATAAGTGCGTGAAATGTCATAAAGTTTATAAAAAGAACTGAGTTAGATACATCTTGCATACCTATGCTGTTCAAGTTTAGTATGTTATTCCTAATCCTATACAGGAGTTTAAAAAAAGAGTCAGTTAACACTTGATTTAGTTTAATTTTATTCCTTCTGGAACAAGAAAATTGTTCATTCCTTGTATTATGCTTTTGTATTGATATGCAGAAAATATCTTACCAAATACAGAAATCTTCTGTTTTGCTTATTGTGTCCTCTGTATGTTTCATCATGATTTCAGGTTTTTCCCTCCTGTGAGCACAGCCTGTGAAAGGCAGTGCCTGTCCAGGGCAAGGAGCTGTGTAGTGTAATGCACTGGTCCATTCTTTGGGTCTCTTCTGGGGTGAGAATTATCACTCTCTCCGAGACTTCAGCATGCAGCTAGAGTGAAAAGTGAACATAGGGTCTAAAAACGTTGAATATGTGTGCCAAGTATTTGAATGCTAGCAAGAGTGGGAGGGAGGTTTAAGGGAAATTACAAACCTTTTTCAAGGCAAGAAAAATGACTGAACCCTTTATCACTTCTTTTCATTTACAAAATGTCAAAACCGCTCCCCTGAGTTTGGCAAAGTTGCCATCATTTGTTTGTGAGCTGCTTGAAGGCACTCTTTGAAAGAATAATTATTAACCTTTGCTCAGTATGACAAAGAGAATTTTTCAGGAGGTATTTTCTGGGGGAGGTAAATTGCTGGGGATTGCAGGAGGGCACTCTGCTTCTTCACTTGAGATTGGAGCTGAACGGGCTTCAAACCATGATGTCAGAGTAGCACTGGCATGTGCCTTGAAGAAGGGCACAGAGACTGAGTTTGACTCCTGTTTGCCAACCCAGGGCTCCAGTATTCCCTCTGCGCCCACCATCATGCAGACAAGATCATCCATCATCTGTGAGATCTCTGCTTTCCTTTTCCTCCTTGGATCCCTGCAGCGATGCCATTTTGGGGGCCCCCGAGCGGGAAGAGCAGGGACCCAAGCAAACCCTGGCTGCCAGGATGGGCTGCCCACTTCTGGGCAAACCCTCAGAGAAAAACCCCTGTAGAAGTATCACCAGTGGAAGCACTGTTTGCTCGTTACTTTGTGGGAGACTATGTCCACACATTGATTCATTATTAAATAAGCATATAAATAGCCCTTTGTCTCCCTTGTTGGATGCATCAGTTGCTGTGCAAGTTGCAGAAAGCCCAGGATAAGAGGATGAGAAACAGTTGGGACAGGCAGAAACTGCCAGCAGGAATTTCTGAAGTATTCCTGTGGGCTTTCCTAAGAAGTGGCTCGCTTTTCCCAGGGACCGCTGGAAGCATGGGAGCACTCAGTCACATAATGTTCCCTCTCTAGGAAAACATTTGGTAGTAGTTTAAAAAAGAAAACTTTACAGAGCTTAAATAATGCCAAAGATGAATTTGGTGAAAACTGATGCTGTACACACTTTACTTAGGAGGGTTTTGAATTTCCAATGCTGCTTGGAGTTGCTAGCAATAGCTCCAGGGCTTGCCAGTCATATTCAGGTTTTCTGCACCACCTTTTTTATTTTAATCAAGTTATTGTGGCACTTCTAAGCACATGGCTGAATATTAAGCTTTTGTGTTCAATTCACCTGTATCAACAAGGTCATGGTACTCGTAAAAATACCACGTATTTTAGTAATCATAAAATTAATGAAATCCTAATAATTGCAAGAAAGGCTTCAATTTCATTCAGTTTTTAAAGTCATGCATGTCAGTGTTTATGTTTGTATGCTGGCTTGTAATTACTCAAGAGTCATGTAGCCTGGTTTACCTCTAAAGTAATGAGGAATAATAAAAAGATTTTTTTAATGAAAACTAATTTTTTTTAAGGGTTTAAAGACAGTCTTAAAGGAAACACAAAATGTAGTGAAGTGTGTCATTCCATACTGTGGGACTGACCAATGTCAGCAATAATCTGGCTAAAATAGGCTAAATTATTCTTGTTGTTTGTGTTGGGTTTTGTAAAAAGTAAACAAATCAATATATTGTCTGATTGACAGTCATCCTGAAAGCATCTTAATAGTAACTGGAGGCTTAAAATTTCTCACTGGGCTACAGTGCACTTAGAACCACAATGGATGGCAGTGCAGTGGTGTGTGCTGGCATAATTGGGTAGTCTTGGATTTTCCCCATCAGGTGAACAGGCATCTCCTCTGGCACCTTTAGAAACTCTTATTGTGTGTGAACCCTTACATGTGTGCTGAATAGAAGTACTGAATGAATATTGTTAGGCCCTGTGATAGTGTAGCGCTGAAACACATTGGTGGGGAGGAGATGGAGTCTGGTATTTTTTCTGTTGTTCATTGCTTTCCAGCTTAAGGGGTGTTCATCCAACTCCAGCTAAAACAATTCAGTTTAAACTGGCACATTAAAGTTCAAGTTGGTGCTTTATTTTACCCTACAGACAACAAAGATATATTTTATGATGGCTTAATGTCAGTGTCTGAATGAGAGAGGAAGTTAGAAAGGGACATGCTGCAAACAAAATCACAGGGACGTGTGGATAGCTAAAAAATTTTAAAAATGCAACAGCTGAGCAGGTGGCAGTGAAAATCAGAAATCTGTTGTTCAAGCTGTTCTCTTTCATTTTATACTTAGAACTGAAGCAAGAATGGTCTTTCTGGTTTTTGTTGGTACAGCTCTTGTTACAAAGAGGTCCTGATCTATGGTCAGCCCTCTTAAGCACCACGATAATACAGTCATTCATTATTAACACAAAGCAAGGAGAAGTGGGAACCTCAAATACAGCATGAAACAAGCAAATGGGGAAATGAAGGTATCAATTATGTACCTAATGTTGATGATGCTCTTACAGAGTAGTTGTTTTCCCCTCAGAAAAGAATCTGCTGGGAGAGCAGAGCGTATTCTCAGTGCTTTGTCTGACAACAAGATGACATCTCCCCATCTAAATCCTCAACAAACCCCTTTGTTTAGCCCTTTTCCCTCCCAGGAGAATTTCATGCTTTGCTTAGTCCTGAGCTGGTGCCTGGACCTAGAAGGAGAGCACTGCTGGCTCTCCCACATGGAAGTGGGATCCTAGTTTCAAATCCTACCTCCACCAACATCTGCACCCTTGGGGTGCGCTGTGAACAGGGCAGGCTCCAACACGGCATCCCAGTGCAATGAGCTGAAGGGCAACAATTTTCATTTGTAATTTATTCCAACTAAAGTTATTTGTTTAGCAGTGCATCACTTCCATAAACACTGATTTTATGGAAAAATTGAAGTCCAAAACATGTATGAATACAGCCTTCAAGCCTATATGAAGATGGTACTACAGTTCCGCTGGGTTTTGCTGTAGTGATTTATGGTGCCATCAGCTTGCATGATGGAATTACTGTTTTTTGATTGTGTAGGAAAGGGACCACACTGGTTTTTAAAGTATAATCGAATCCCATCACTTCGCACACAGACCTGTCCTTTTACTTGCCCCTGAGTGTCCAAGTTTAAATTGGAAAAGGAAGGGCAGCTGGGGTGTCAAATATGTCAGCTTGTGCCTGATTTTCCCCACCTTGGCCTTAGTAAAGAACAAGATACAGGGAATAAAACAGCTGTTTGCAGTGTGGCTGGGGACGGAGAGGGCAATGAAATATGATGCGGAATAAAAGTCAGCTGCAACTTGGCAACTCCCATTTCTTTATAGCAAAGAAGATGACTTAGAGTGTATTCAGAATTGTGATATTATAGGCACAGAATGATATGAATGATTTTTACAGGCTGTGGTTTTAGAGTTGGCAAATTGGCTTTTTGACTGAGAGGAACTGTATTTAATCATTAATAGGTTCTTCTGAGCATCTTGGAGTTTTATTATTATTGTTTACCAAAGCTGGTATCTAGCAACAAAGGCAAACATTTTAAAGGCAGCTAAAAACTGAACTTTAAAATAAACAATTTTCTCTACAGAGGCAGCAGAGCTAAAAGCCTGTACAAACATTTGCAATGACAGCAACAATCAGAAATTTGCTGGTTGGGTTTAAAAAGCCTTGACCTCCCTGGTGGGGTTCTGAGGCCAAGGAGGTCATAAAAAGAGACTGTTTGCTTTGGGTTTGACTTACACACATTTGGACAAGTGCAATATGCTGTTTCCTGTACTAGAAAAAAGGTGTTGAAGTGGTGCCAGTGTAGAAGAAAATGTTGCTCTTCAAAGGCAGCACAGTGAGCTCTGGGCTGTCCTGTCCCAGGGATTTAATTACATGACTGATCAAATTACTCCTAAGGTTTTGGGTACATAAACATTCTGTTGTTTGTACGTCAGGAGCTCCTTGTCATAGTACTTAAGAGAAGGGAAGCATTGGGATGGGAGTTCACAAAACCAAACCTGCTTTCAGATGCGTAAACATGTTAATTGCGAAAGATTTGGTTCAAGATAGTAATAATAAGGGTGAAAACACCTGTAATGCTCATACAGAATTGTATTTAGCAAGGGTGCTGGGTAGTCTGGAATGAGATGGAGTGGGATAGGATGGGATGGGGAGATGTGTACCTCCTTCCCATCCTGTTGGAGAGGAAAATAGCTGATGATGTTAGCACTTCACGTGGTTATTGCTGTAGCACTGGATATGGTGAAGGGGTCGGAGCAGCTCTTGCACCCACTGGTGGTGAGCTTGGGTAATCACTTCCTAGCAGAAATCTTTCCCTCTCTTCGGAGACTTCTCTCCCGTTCACTCCTGTTCTCTTCCTGCCCCAGCTCAGTGGCACACTATCCAGCCCAGTCTGGTCAGCAAATTCATTTGTCTGACACTGATGTCAGTAGAAGGACCCAACTCAGTTTTAAAAGCCCAGGCAAAAGGCGTTTTTTCTTTTGCCTCTCTGCGGTGATAAGGTGCAGCCTTACAAATGGTTACCAGCATGGTTGGTGGTTCAGCTGATATTTCCACCATGGTGGTGTGAAAACACAGGTTGAGATGACTGGAAGCCCACTTGTGTGGGCAGCATCTCTATAAAACTATACCTGCATGCTGCCTCCGTCAGTAGTGGCAATGGCTTCTGGGGACATAGCCAGGGATCTGCAGGCAAATGCCTCCCATCTTTCCAGCTATGTTGGAGGGGTGTCTGAAAGGCATCAGAGGAGGATTAGCAACTGGGTCCTTTAGTCAGTGAATATATCGATACAGAACTTAATAAATGCATTCATGCAGCTTACTTTTAGGTGAAATTACAAAATTATAAAAAAAAATAAAATAAATAAACTATAAATGAAAATACATGCTATTGTACTCCAAGGAGATATATCCCTTAATATTACATTATCCCTTAATAACAGAGAAGCATTCATTTTCAATGCTCAGCTGTGCAAAGTAGTTTGGTTGCTCTTTTATTTATATTGCTTTTTGTTTTTTCTGTCCTTCCACATCTGTTACTGTGCCTGGATTTTTTTTGTCCCTGTTTTTGTGGAGGAGTTACTTTGACCTTTGGCCTGATGTTTCATATATCTGGAAAATGTAACTGTCTGGAAACTTTCCATTTGCTGCTTTTTGCTCAAGTATTGGGGTTGAGAAAAAAAGAAATAAGCAGCCTGCATTAAACCTATGATCCCTTTCCCTCTGGTTGGAGCCAGCTGTGTTCAGGGTTAGAGAGGAGGTAGCAAGAAGATTTTTGGACAGATCACTTTCATACCTGTATAACAGGATGGCTGAGCATTTGCTTACCTCTTCCGTAGAAAGCTAAAAGGATGGAAGTTAAATGTTTCATTGAAGAGGAGGAAGTTGTGTAGGTGTTCTAATAAGGCCTGCATGATGCCAAAATCTAAATAATTAATTTACAAACACATGCTTGTGGGCATATTGCAGACATAAGGTCATGCCCTTAATTTTATTCAGACCTGAAGGGAATCCCTAATGTGTTTTGACACAAAAAAGCAGATGAGAAGAGAGGTGATATAACTGCAGTGCTTAATGCACTGTAGAACCCGCCCAGCTCGCATGCCAATGTAGGTGGAGCAGAAAAGAGCTCTGCACAGGTTCCTGCATGAAAAGTGTAATTTAGTAAGGCTGGATAGCCCTGACTGACTGTATTGCCTGTGGCATTTCCAGTGTCTCTACAGAGTGCTCTACAACCCTAACTTTGCTTTTTAAAATTTTCTTT